TGCCTTGCTTGGAGTGAAATGATAAAAAAAAGACACTAAACAAAACCCGAATGTCAAAGTGGAAAAAAAATTAATGTAACATACTAAAGAAATATTCTTATTGATGAGCTGGGAGATAGAAATGTAAACACTGGTAATAATTATGAACTGATGGAAAATGTTGAAGATGTAGAAAAACTAAATTTTAAAATCTAAAATTCCTACATATTCAGCATTTTCCCTCAGGCCATAATCGTAGCATTAAAAAATTTTAAAATATTAAATTTAAAAAATTTAAAAATTAAAAATTTAGCATTCTTACATCTTCAGAGTTTTCCCTTGGTGCATAATTACAACAAACGTTTACATTCATATGTTCTCACACCCCCACCGCTGACACTACAAGAGATACAATTCCATCAATAAGATCACTATTTTAGTCTGATGAAATGTTTCCTCTTAGAGGACAAAATGCATTACAGACACTTTTTCCCCACTTTGACATTCAATTACCTAGCATGGTTCTGAAATATATAACTATATATCATATTCTCTCTCATATATATATATATATATATATATATATATATATATATATATATATAGGCATAAAAGTTGGATCTTTTCTAATTGATCTCTTTAGCTCTAAATTGGAATGATGATCCCTCTTCCTGTTATGACCTCTTGGTACAGTTTTCTTCTCTCCTGTGACCCTTTTTAAACTTATTCACCATTCTCTTAATGATTCTTGAATAAACTTTGAAGATGGAAGCCAGAGTATGAATGTTGGTACCATTACCGAAGGCCTGAATGATCCTTTTCCTCTCACCATTGCTCAGTTGATAAGACATAGTGTTATTGACACAAAACAATTTTAACCACTTCTTTTTCTAACAAAGAATTTTTCCGTGATTCTTACAACAAATGGTGTCAAGATGGACCAAATGTCTTATCTGAAAACCTGGAGAAAAGAAACTCGATTAGTTTTGTGTTTTTTAGATATTAAATATTTTTTGGGATAGACAATTATACTGTTACATGGTTTGGACAATTTTGCTGTTATACCTGGTATATATTTATGTATGTTTCGATAGCAAACATTCTTTTAAACACCTTTTGTTAAATATGGCAGACAAGGAAGATTTAATTATTTTTTATTTTTACTTACATTTTTCTATTTGGTAAAAACTAATAGAACAAAAACAAAATTCCTATGAAAATGTCTAAAGAATTCACCAAAAATGCTTAGGACAATGAAAATTATGGACATTTTTTGTACTACCGTACTCCTACTAAATGGAAGAACATAAAGATGCTGGAAAAACTAAATAAAAAATTAATTAAATATCTCTTGTTTGCTATTTTTAATGATATATATATATATATATATATAGAGTGGGCATTGTAGTCAACACCCAAAGGTGACAGTCTGTCTCATACTAAATACAATTGTTATATGTATGTATGTATGTATATATTATTTGATAATCTGTATGGATAATTCCAAAGAGGATATAGATCCAGAGAGAGCTCAATGTAAGAACAGATCAAATGATAATTATGAAAGTGGAGACATTAGAAACCCAACGTAATATTTTATTAAAACCAAAATATTTAAACATAAATTATGCTTAAAATAAAGTTTCAATATAAGGAAGGGAAAAGAAAAAAAAAAAAAAGAAAGGATATATATATATATATATATATATATATATATATATATATATATATATAAAATAATTATTTTAAAATATGTATTCAGTGCAACACAGAACTTACCATGTTTCAAAACCAAAACCTAAATTTTAAATTAGGATGCTTGAATTCATGTGGTCAGGTACCAGGGGAAAAGCTTGTCAGAGCAGATGTCATTAAAATATTTGTAGAAAAGAGAGGGGGAAGCCACATCAAGTCTGTGAGAAAGTGACTGAAGTCGAGATACTAAGTCAGGATCGATTACATTTCAGATATTTCATTGGATTTTGTCAAGAATCTTATTATGAACAGCAGGAACACTAGACCAGATATGGTAACAGTATTTAATATGCAGTCAAATGGTAGATTTTTAAATGTGCAAGATGGACTCTAATGGGAAAAACCTTCTAGTATGACACAGTGACCCAACATTCCTTGCAGTAGATGCAGCTATTGATTCACTGTAGTCATTCCACTTCAAGTTAGTTGAAATCATGAGGCCAAGAAAGCACACTGTATCACTCTCCAGGAAATATATATATATATATATATATATATATATATATATATATATATATAATAGCTGGCCACTCGTAGTCAAGGATACTCATTTACTAGGTTGGCTAGCAGGTCCCTAATGCAGACGTTTGCTCAGGCATATTTGTGTTTGCTCAATATCCACAAAGCCCACTTATGGTTTATACTGCAACTATGCTGAGCAGACCTTAGCTACAGTTTCTGGGAGAGAGCATGTTATCTAGCGTGATTACCAATTTGAACAAGGCCAGCATGCTCAAGACCTTGGCCACGATAACTTACCATTTATTTAAGCTTTCTCTTTCTCTTGCTTTCAATCTGTCCTGTGAGTGTTAAATTTTCCAAGCTCTCTTTCCTCATTATGTGACCTAAAAATTTCAAATGCCTCTTCCTGATGTTAAGTATAAGTGTTCTTTTTGTTTCCATTTACTCTAAAACATTGTTGTTCCTCACATGATCGGTTCATAGAATCCTTCTATAGAAACACATTCCTGTTACTTCAAGTCTCTTCTTCATCTATGAAGAGATTGTCCAACATTCACTGCCATATTACATAAAAGTTCAGTACTCGTTTCTTTTTTTTTTCTAAGGAAAATATTTAGCAACTGGTTAAACACTGTTATTTTCTTTCCTATATTAGTTGTAATTTCTTTGCAAATAAACAGGAGTCCCCCCCCCACCCTCTTCTGTGAAGGGCGGGGTTATATCTAAAAAGTGATGACTAAGATATTCTTTGTATATATTTTTATGTTTTTCTATTTAGTTGAAATGTGGGAATTCTATAAAGGTTTTGGGAATTACACTTGTTTTTGAATAGTGTTTTTTTTTTTTTTTTTTTTTTGTTTTTTTAACTGGGCTAAATTTAAAATCCAGTAAATGTTAATAACCACAATGCAAGAATCAGCATTCCTCTGGTCAAAGCACCTGATGAAGATTTTTATGGCCTCTACTCATAGTATCTACTTTTGTCTTTTGATCTGGTTAGATGACACCAGCTATAAGTGGTGAGGTGAGTGGCTGTCAACTCTTATTCATTTTGTCTTATTTGTTTCTTAATAGGAATATATACACAGGAATGTGAGAGAATATAAGATAAAGAGTATTTAATAATAATAATTGATCTCATGAGTACAGCTCACAACTTAGAAAGGGTTTTACCTAAGTAAAATATATGTGTGCCTGTGTTTTTTTTTATTTTTATTGGTCAATGGAAAATGTCATGATGCCATTTCTGATTTTAGGTCTCAGGGTGGGACCCAGAAAGAAGTGTGTACACATCAGAAATCAAAGGGAATAATAATAATAATAATAATAAGAAGAATTAGAATAATTAGAATAATAATAATAGTAGTAATAGTAATAATTAGATTAATAATAATAATCATCATTAAAGTAGTAGTAATAATAATAATAGTAGTAATAGTAATAATTAGATTAATAATAATAATCATCATTAAAGTAGTAGTAATAATAATAATAGTAGTAATAGTAATAATTAGATTAATAATAATAATCATCATTAAAGTAGTAGTAATAATAATAATAGTAGTAATAGTAATAATTAGATTAATAATAATAATCATCATTAAAGTAGTAGTAATAATAATAATAGTAGTAATAGTAATAATTAGATTAATAATAATAATCATCATTAAAGTAGTAGTAATAATAATAATAGTAGTAATAGTAATAATTAGATTAATAATAATAATAATCATCATTAAAGTAGTAGTAATAATAATAATAGTAGTAATAGTAATAATTAGATTAAATAATAATAATCATCATTAAAGTAGTAGTAATAATAATAATAGTAGTAATAGTAATAATTAGATTAATAATAATAATCATCATTAAAGTAGTAGTAATAATAATAATAGTAGTAATAGTAATAATTAGATTAATAATAATAATAATCATCATTAAAGTAGTAGTAATAATAATAATAGTAGTAATAGTAATAATTAGATTAATAATAATAATCATCATTAAAGTAGTAGTAATAATAATAATAGTAGTAATAGTAATAATTAGATTAATAATAATAATCATCATTAAAGTAGTAGTAATAATAATAGTAGTAATAGTAATAATTAGATTAATAATAATAATCATCATTAAAGTAGTAGTAATAATAATAATAGTAGTAATAGTAATAATTAGATTAATAATAATAATCATCATTAAAGTAGTAGTAATAATAATAATAGTAGTAATAGTAATAATTAGATTAATAATAATAATAATCATTTAAAGTAGTAGTAATAATAATAGTAGTAGTAATAGTAATAATTAGATTAATAATAATAATAATCATCATCATCATAATAGCAATAACAATCATCATTAAAGTAGTAGTAGTAGTAATAATAATAATAACAGCAGCTCACATGTTTATCTCTGTAAAATGTGTATGATCTTAAGTTTTTTGGGGTTTTTTTTTAAAGAATGATCACTGGAAAATGTGATGAAGCTACTTCTGAACTTATGTCACTGGTTGGGATCCACAAGGAAATGTGTATACAATAGAAATGAACCCAATTGGCTGCATGCTCAAAATAATTAATAATTATTCAAGATAATGATTTAGTTAACACAAGTTTTACTAACAATGATTTAGTTACTATAAATCTTACTAATTAATCCATAGCTGGGGGGAGAAGTACTAGAATCATCCCTCTCCCAAGGATATTTGCTCATAAGTGAACATATCAAACCCAATTGGGATTCAAATTTGGCTCTCCAATTTCCAATTCCAATGCATTATCCATTCGACCCATACATCTAAGCTTACAGTACTCAGTATTCCCAAGCAGTCACCTGTCTATGAACTGACCAGGCTTGATGTTGCTTAACTTTGGTGGTTGTATGGGAACTGGTGTTTTAAACCTGATATAGACATTAGCTGAAAGATTGTAGAATGGTTTCCCTTTGCCTTCTTCACTGTTTGAAATTCAGAATTTTCCTTCTCTTAGACTGGTTGCCACCCAAAGTTAGAGATGCTGGTGCATCCTGCTATTTAGCACATGAGAAGAGATAGATTTATGCCTTTTCCAAGGGTAATAGTGTGACGTGCAACAGATCATTTCAGAAGTTGAACTCAACAGCCCAGTTCCATTTCCCATGCCAATATCTGTTATACTACCTGCACATCCTTTGTACATCTGCTAGTAGACTGATTAATTAATGATAAAATCATATTTACTTTTGTCTCTTAAAAAGACAGAGTGATAAAAAAAAAAATGTCAATAAAAGACTGAATGAACAAAATCTAGAAATCTATTTTCAGATGGCTATCACCATAAAAGCGTGTTGCTCTTCATAACAACTTTTTTATGTCTCGACATAAGCAGACATAAATAATTACTGATTCCAAATTCAAGTTAGTTGTCCAAAAAGAAAATGCTTTCAGTAAGTCTTTATGAAATAATATTTTTTTTTCTCTCTCTATGCTTTATAATAATTGCAGAAAGGGTTAATAATTTCAATTGACTGATAAGTAGGTTATGTGCATACTCAGTGGAGTTTGAATTTTCATTAAATTATGAGGTGGAAAGATATTGCTCATCTTGTAAAAATGTCAATGACTTCATTTGGCCATCAACATAAATATGGTAATGGTAATGTTAGCTGTTTCCTTTATAAGGAATCATTTGGCGTTCATTGACCGAGCAGTTTGTACTACTGTTGGTTGATATTTATAAAATCTTTCTCGTAAAACAGTTTTGCAGGAAAATAGGTTTCTCATATCCAGTAGCTGTTATTTCTCTTTCCAGTGTTGATGGGGTTCCATATATATATATATATATATATATATATATATATATATATATATATATATATTTTCTCGGAGTTAACCTTCAGAAAAGACAATATGCCAAAGGTAAAAGACAACAGGAAAACTGTATTATTAGCTGACGCATTTTGTCCAATGTCGACTTTTTCGCTTTTACCATGAAAAAATCCACATTGGACAAATCACATCAGCTAATAATACAGTTTTCCTATTGTCTTTTACCTTTAACATATATATTAATACAAGTAAAAAGTTTGTCACAGCTGATTGATGTTACCTTCAGCATCTCAACTCCAGGATTTTGTAGACGGACCCTCTGAGAATTACTCCATCCACTCATCAGGAGTATCAGAAATTACTGCTTATACTTCTTGATTTTTTTCTTTTTCATATACACATTTCCTTGGTGTAAGTTTTTTTCATAGTGTATGTTTTTATGTGTGTATTTGCACACATGCACCCGACTGTGTGTACATGCAGAATGTCCTGATTATTTGTCCTTTTCATTTTTTTTTTTTTTTTACTTTATGCCTACTCCTTAACCTTTCCTTTCTTTTTCTCTTTTTTCTCACTTCTTATCATTTGACTTTCAGTTTTTTAGACATGTTGTCATTGCTAATTTTTTAGCATTGGTATTCTAGTCTTTTCTTGAGTTAGGAAAATTATATTTCACTTTTTTTATATAAGTAATTAATTTTAATGCTTAAATAATAAAGTAAATATTTATATATGCCTTCACTTGGCCATTATTTTGTGCCCTTATTTGATTTGGTGGTCTCTTAAGTACTATTAGGGAATTAATTGTAGGGGTATATATATATATATATATATATATATATTTGTTTATTTAAGCAGCAATCCCTCTTTAATACAGGTTACATTGAACAAGACTGACAATGTACTTTTGTTTAACTTTTTTTTTCTCATATATGTACAAGTATCTTTTTTCCTGGATTTAATGAATATAAAAATTCTTCAAAAGTTTGGTGCTTCTGATTGCTTTCAGCAAAACTGATTACGTTTTCTCTTATACTACTATAACAAACAGTGCTTAATTTCTGTTGCAATTTTTCTTTTTTTGATGAGTGTCTGGTGAAATTGTCCATAGTGTTTATTATCCTATTGTCCAAAGTGCTTTCAGCTAATACTTTTCTATTTTTCAAGGAATGTTAATTTTCATGTTAATGAGGATTGTTTTCTTTTTTTGTTTCTTGTACTGTGTTGTGTGAGAATCATTTTTTTTATAGTAATAATTTTATTCTTAGTGGACTTTTTCCTTAGTTTTGAAACACAGCCATGACATTTCCTCAACAGCACCTCAGTTGAACGAGGCCAAGGCATCTTGACTATGTTTAGAAGCCCAGAAAAAAATCTCCACTAAGAATGAAATTACCACTACAAAAAATGCCTCTTACACAAAACTGTATAAAAAATAAAACAAAATTATATTAACAATTGTCATTACTATCAAATTCAAAACCCCATTAAAATATATATATATTATGAAATGGACAAAGTCCGACAATTATTTTGAGATATTTTTATGTTTATACATTCTCTTTATAGATACAAATATTTAAGTTAATGCTCTGTTTTATAATAAACAGTATTAAATAACATGCCTGACGTGCCTTAACCGTGTCTTAAAATAATTGTCAGACTTTGTCCATTTCATAATGTGTGACGTCATTTGTTTACATTTGATGCACCATGAGCAGATATGAATGTACGTGAGAGATTTATGGAAGATTAAAGTTTAAATACAGTAAATTCGACCTTGGTAACTGAACGCTCCTCTGTGGCCAAAACAGTTAAGGCATGTCAGGCTATATGACAGTTCCATATAGGATACAGGTTCAATTACTGTCGGAGGACGAATATTTTCTATGAAAATTTCTCAAACATTCAGGCTGGTTAATGTTGTTTAATACTGTTTATTATAAAACAGAGTATTTACTTAAATATTTCTATCTATAAAAAGAATGTATAAATATAAAAATGTCTTAAAATATATATATATATATATATATATATATATATATATATATATATATATATATATATATAGAATGGGTAAGATAAAAAATTTACATACACGTATATATATTTTTGCATGTACATATAAATATATTATTTCTTCTGGTGTTATAAATACATTGCTCAATGTTATAAAACAGAGGTATATCTTCTGACTATTCAGAATATATTTTCACCTGAAGATTGCAAGAACTGCATGAAACTGAGTCATGCTATCGATTTGGGATATTATGTATATTCACTAAAATATATATATATATATATATATATATATATATATATATATATAATGTGTGTGTGTATACATATAAATTTATATTATTTAAAATATTTAAAATTTTCTATATTTATAAGGAAAGAAGGATGCTTAATATGAAGAGCATTTATAGATATGTGAGCATAGCAATCAACACTGTTTGGCATCTCCATTAAATTCAATCAAAGAAATCTGCCAGTTTAAGATTTTTTGTCCAAATTCAATGATTTGGTTTGTTTGAGTCATTTTGATAGTCTTGTTCATTATTGAGAATTAAACCTCATCAATAATATAGACAAGATGAAGGATAGGAAGTTGTGGAGACCCGTGGTTGCACACAAACTGAAGAGAAATGACACATAGAAGAAGATGAAAACTATGGAAGATTTTAAAAGATTATTCTTTAAATATGAAATCAGGTAAAAGAAAAACATTTTTTTCCCCAACATGATTATAGCCTGATAGGAACCTATTCTTGGCCAAAATGATACATCTAAATTCTCTGAAATCTGACAGAGATACACGAGATATAAAAATAAACCAAACCTTTTCATATCTCTGTTTCCGTCCCCACATTCTCCAGCTCCTTACTCTCTTTCCCTATTGTTTACTCACAATTTTTTCCACACCCTGCTTTAACTTTCTTCCTCACTTTCATTCTCTATCTCACATTTCTTCTCTCTTCTTTCTTTACTGTTCAAAATTCCTCACCTTTTTCTCTTCTTTATTTCACACCCTCTTTCTCCCTTACACCAATATTTTTTTTTGTCTTTCTTTCACACAACGGCCATTTTACAAGCTAACTTTGAAAGGACAGTCGACTCAAATATATTAAACATACAACCAATACAAGTTAACCCATGAGCCCAGAGGGACAGAATTGTTGTAAATTTAAACATTCTATCAATTATAAAACAGATAACACCTTGAGCTGTCTAGGAAGGAAATGTTTGGCATTGTTCCAATTCAAAATATAGTCTAATGGTAATGTTTCCAATGTGAATTGGTAAAGAGTGTGCAGACTAAGATCTATGCATGCATTCCCATATCTTTACTGATGGATGTTTATTCGTGAGTGTGTATATCAGACTCGTGTGTATTTATTTACAACTGCGATTACATACACATGGGGATTTTAACTTGTCTCAATACGAGTTAAAAATAGTGTTTTCAAATGTTGATATGATAAGGTCTATAAAAAACATTTCATTTTACAGACTTTGACTTTTATTCCAAAGATTATTTCATGTACACATCTAAAAACATTTTGTAACTCCAGTATATTATTAATATTATTATTATATATTTGGGTGTATCAAAAGTATTTTCCTTATTTACAGACCCTAACTCCAAAGCCTATTTCATGTACATATCTAAAGAATGACTCTGTCATCATTATATTATTAATATTGTTATAAACTAGCTTAAGACACCCTATCAGGTGGCACTTAAGCTAGCTCTTGTGGAGAGCTCTTGATTGGGTCTTCATCATAATAGGTAGGGAGGAGTATACGCGATAGGCAACAATAAACTGCAGAAGAACCCAAATCAATGCATTTAAGTATTGCATTAATATTTAAGCTAACCTTTTAAAAGTTCAATGATAATTCTTTTGCCGTCACTTAATTTAAAGAGAATTTGATATATGTAGGGCCATACTTTCCATAAAAACAATTATTATTTTTATTTCATGGGTGACTTTCGCTGGATTAATTAATCTTGATTATTCCCAAATTTATTTCTGCATTATAAAAATTGTTATTGTACAAAAAAATTTGTCACAGAATATCATGGAAAAAAAAAGATCACTGA